ATGGTATGTCCCTTACGAAGAATTGCAAAGCCATAAGGAGATGAAAGCAAGCTTTTGGTTTCTGATTGGCGCGATTTGGGAAAAAATGTTGAAGGTATCTGAAAGTTCTTTGTATTATGAGTCCCTGAAAACATTATAGATGATAGGTTCGCAAGGGCGTATGGATATTCCAAGTAGCAACTTATTGCTCAGCGAGACTGAGCAAGAAGTTACTGCTTGAAAAAGACATATTCATTGTGCAATTTTGAGGAAAAGGGAAGGAAGCTTTGTTTTCGAGCATAAGAAATGATGGGGTTTGAGCAAAACATAAACATTTTAATAGGCAGTGATATTGAGGTATTACCTTTGCGATGTTTTTAGTTCTAAAATATGTATGTATATAACTAAAAAAATCATTCAGATAACTCTTACATGCTGTCATTTCGCTACTAAAGTTATCTGATGCGGTCATTCCACCACTCACTTTTGTTGAAGGAAAAAAACGCAAATTCATTTTAGTTGCATGCAAATGTACCTAGTATCACGAAGTGACTATACACTCGAGAAGAACTGAAAGGATGCTGCGATTTGTACTTTATTGTAGAAGACATGTGGAATGAAGCGGCCTCAGTGAAAGAGGTATTCATTGTCATCTGCTTGGCGTATGAGAATAATAAAAATTGATTACAGGCGTCAATCTTAAAATTGACTAATCAATTTTACGATTGACGTGCTTTTGCTCTCTTTCTATCTTTTTGCATTGCACAAGTAGCATGGAAAACTTAACTACTGCATCTCTAAGTACAGCTTAGCTGCAATAATCGTTGGCGGCACATTAGATGAGTCCCCAAAAACATAAGCTAACTTCTAAGACAGCTAAGACGGCCTCTTGGCCTTCATGGCGAGCCATTGTCTTGAGCTGAGTCATTGACTGCTTACACCATTTGAATAAATTCAAGTAATGCTAGCTCTCAGAGTGTTAGCGTATGTAACCCATCAGAGACTATGGCAAATATTTTCATCATATCTCTTAACAAAGAAAGACATGAGGATCTCAAATGAACAAAATGGATTATATTTACTTTGCAATCCAATCTTATAGTAAAAGATGAAACTCATAAACATTTTTCACGTTCGTTTTACGAGTTGTTCGCATGATAATTGGTAGAGAATGTCTACTTCATACCCACCGCTTCTTGTTCAAAATCAACGGATTAATTTTCGTCGTCTAGCCTTTAACTTTACAGCAGAGGCTACCAAGAGATGTGTAGGTGACCAGCATTACAATCTCAGTAGGCCACTTTTCAAACGGATCCGTGTGATTGAATTCGCGATTGATTTCCTACCGTATGCCTACCTTAAAAGTTACTGTATTGAGTTACATAAGATACGTCCCTACGAGATGAGTCTCATCTTGCTTTTTTGAAAAATTCCATTTTGAAAGAAGTTATGGCAATGCGGCGCTTCGCAACGGAAATTTCACGACGAAATTTTATAATGCGAAAAACAGAAGTTATGGGCGGTGTGTAGCAAAAGAAAAACGTCAAATCTACAGAGTAATGAGCTTATTTTTGCAATCAATGATGTATGGGCAAATATACAAGTTTTTCAATTTTTATGAAAGTTTACTAAGGATAGCAGTTACACGTAGAATAATTTAGGAATCGAATTCGTAAGGGCAAAAATCAGGATTGTTGACGGGCTGAAAACGGAATCCACGTGCTACCATACGACATCGTTGTTCATGCATTCTCGGCCAAGCATCTTCTGCCTATACATTATGGTTAATGTAAAATTTGACACATTATTATTACAACAAAATACGGAAAATTAAGTGCCTTTTTAGTGTTCTCTTTTGGCGACCACAGTCTTTCAGCAACGGCAGAGGCTCTTGGCCTGGAAGTACAGAAGGCATAAGAGCCAGATAGTAATGAAAAAAGCAGCAAATTTAACAGTTTCTTTTGACGATAAGATGTAATACTATCATAAGGTGTTGTACATTACCTTCAAGACTGCGTGAGAGGTTCGTTGGATACATAGCTACTTTTAACTACGTAATTTCAAAAGCGTTCATTTAATGAAAGTTTTTACCACAATCGGCTCTCGATGTTTGTGTCGTCTACCATTTCACCCCATATGGCTGCAATCCCTCCAAGCACTAAAGCTTTCTGTTCGTCAGTTCCCTCAAAGTCAGTGGGATCACAGTAATAATATCTAAAATATACGCTTGATTTTTGCGCAAATGCACGCTAATAGAGGAAATAGCGCTGCTCAGCTCATATTGAACTCTTCAAAATGGCAGACTTGCCAACCATACCGTGAATTTGATGGAGAATAGCTTGGTATTGCGTCTTTCCAATCAGCTCCATATTTAATATAGTTGAGGTACCTAAATTAGTTAGCAGTAATTGATAGATAGATATTTTCACATCAGACGTTTAGCAAAACTTTATTGAAATAACACTGAAAATCATTATGGCGTTTGCACAGTGTTGTGGTCTGAAAT